ACCTAGCCCCAGTTGGCACCAGCCACCATGTAATGTTGTCAATCAGATTTAACTGTTATTTAGTTCCCGACAAAACCAGGAGAAGATGCAAATATTATAAGGGAAATTACGACGGGATGAGGTGAGTGGTATCCACTGACCTGACTCACTAAGGCATAAGAACGCAAACACTATGCTGAATATCATGGCTAGTAAGTGAACCATTTGATCGATAAATATATACCCAAAACCAAACCCTGTGCTTCTTGGAATACAAGGAGACCCCTACACATGAACCATGCGGCGGTCGACAAAGTTAAGAAGAAAACGCAGAAATTCAAGGCGTGGGTTGGGTCAAACGATGAGTAGGACAGGAGGATGTATACAAGAGCAAAGAACCAAGCAAAGTCAGAGTGTAGAAGGGCTGAAAAGGAGTTCCAGAGGCTGGTTGCAAGCGAGGCCAAGTCAAACCCAAAGGCGTTTTACCGCTACGCAAAGTCGAAATTAAAAACGCGAGTCGGAGTAACGGACCTGAGGCTTGAAGTTCGTAGTTACGTAGAGTCTGACCAGGGCAAAGCTGAGGCATTAAATAGTTTCTTTTCTTCACTGTTCACAAAAGCGGATGCGAACAATCTTCCTGCGTTTGAGGACAGACGGTTCGATACAACGATGACCCACATTGTGTTCTCAGAAGAGGTTATAAGAAATAAACTGTCAACACCCTGACATGATGCATCCCAGAGTGCTAAGAGAGTTGTGCAACGAGCTTGCTGAGCCCCTGAAGATCCTGTTCTGCAAATGCCGCGATGAGCAAAAGCTCCCCAGTGATTGGAAAATGACTTTGATGAGTCTTATCTTGAAGAAGGGCGATCGTCACTCCACGAATAACTGTAGACCGGTGAGCCTGACCAGCATAGCATGTAAAGTATTTGAGAGCATTATAAGAGATGCCATGATGGAACATCTACTACGAAACAACCCTGTAAAGGATTGCTAACACGGTTTTATGCCGGGGCGCTCCTGTTTAACACAATTGCTCAAGGTATTGGATATTTGGACCCATATTCTGGAACGGGGTGGTAATATTGACAATATATACCTAGATTTTGCCAAGGCTTTCGACAGTGTACCCTATAAAAGGCTGAAAATCAAATTGGAAGGGTACGGAATTTGGGGAAATGTCCTAGTGTGGATAGAAGACTTTCTACATGGCCGAAGGCAGTGTGTGGTGGTTAATGTCACGAAATCATCATCTGTACCTGTTACAAGCGGGGTACCACAGGGCAGTGTATTGGGCCTGCTGTTGTTTGTTTGTTTCATAAATGACATGCCTGACGCGGTACACTCCTCTATACAAATGTTTGCCGACGACGCCAAGTTTCTCCTGGAAATCAAGAACCAAGTGGGCTGTGAAGAGCTGCAGAAGGATCTCTGTGCGCTCCAAGAATGGTCGAAGAAATGGCTGCTGAGATTCAATGTCTTATAAAAAGGTAGTTCAGATATCTAGACGGTCCGTCCCTCGTAACGATCTTCAAGAGTGAAGTGCTTCCCCATCTGGAGTACTGTCACCCCGTCTGGTCCCCGAGATATACTAGGGACTGTCAGTTGGTTGAAAATGTTCAAAGGAGGGCCCCCAGACTGGTGCCTGCACTTCGGCACCTCAGCTACCCTGAGAGATTAGAGCGCCTGAACTTGCCTAGTTATACTACAGACGGGCAAGGGGCGACCTAATTGAGGTGTGTAAGCATCTCAAGGAGCACTACTTAGCCGAGTGTCCTTTCCTGGAGCTGGCGGACGCTCGCCTCACAAGGGGTCGCAGCTCAAGGTTGAAGAAGCCGCAAGTCCAGAAAACTGCGAGGGCAAACTTTTTCAGAGTGAGAGTTGTGAACTCTTGGAACAATCTGCCAGAAAGTGTTGTGACGGCACCGAGTGTGAGCTCTTTCAGGACCAGACTTGACCAACACTGGGGCAGGTTCAGGTACGTTCAGGAGACGGTGCATGCCCAGTACTTGCCAACAGTGCGTGACAGAGACGTGAGCGATCGCCCAAGCGGCTAACGAGCCAATCAGTGGTGAAGAGAATAAAAGAAAAAGAAAACACAGGATTCCCAGCTTTCGGGAGGCAGCTTTAGCATTGTTGTGGATGTGTGGCTTCCATGGCATATTAGAGGAAATGGTGAGGCCTAGCATATCTATTTTGGAATTTGGCAGAATGATTGCGTCCTGAAATATGATTGGTGGGAGATCTTCTATTTTGGAAAGTGTAATTAGTAAATACTGCGTTTTATTACTATTGAATTTAACCAAATTTCTACCTCACCTTTCGGAGATGCTCTCACAGATCAGCATTGATAGATGAAATGATATCAGATCTAGTTTGAGAATTAGGGGGATGGGAAAATGGAGAATCATCAGAGTAAGAATGGATAGAACTAGTCGTAGTGCGAAGTAATTTATATATACTGTATATATATATATATATATATATATATATATATATATATATATATATATATATATATATATATATATATATATATATATATATATATATATATATATATATATATATTTCATGTAGATCCACAATGAAAACGTGGATAAGATAAATCTTGATAAAATCACACGGGAAAAGGGAAACAACGGAGCACCTTAGCTTTCGTCTTTATTCAAGACATCTTCAGAGGCAACTGGATTAGGTTGGTTGGTTGTACGGAGAGAAGAGAGCAGTAGCTCTAGGAGTGGGAGAAGGGTAAAAGAACAAGGTAAAGTTCAGAAGTGGGAAGTAAAGGAGAAGGTTAACAGCAGGTGGGCTATCCACCTTGCGGAGACGGGTTTTTTGTCTTCCGTAACTGTGCTGCATTAGAGGTTCATGGGAAGGTTAGGGAAGGCCGGTCTCAGCCAAGCTAAGCTAAGTTATTCAGAGTTGTCCTTGGGGCATATTATCTTAGGGTGGGGGGGGGGGGTCCCTCCAGGTCCTTGTGGCACTGTAGGGATGATCCCCATGGACAGAGAGAGGCTTAAATATACAGGGTGACCTTAAAAACATGAGGTTAGGTCATAATGATGTCATCCACTAATCCCCACACCAACACACACACGTAGAGGAGCTTAAGAGAAGGGGGGTGACGTGACTAGTCAGGTCAGGTCAAAAATAAGGGACCCACTAAATAACTATCATACATCTAGATCAAAGGTTTTCAAAGCATTTTTAACCTTGGGCCACTGACAAATAAATTTATGTAACATATCATCAGTTTTGAACTGACCATCACTAAGGTTTATTGATTTTAATTCCTTAATCAAACTAGCTTCAACCAGAAGTCTTTCTGTGACACAAGATGATTTAAATACTTCTAAGCTTTTTTCCCAAGCAATGGGATGATTATTATTCCTAACATGAACGAACAGGGCACTGCTTTCAGATGCTGTTCTGATATTGTACTTATGTTGTTTGATTCTGAGCTGCAGTGTTTTTCCTGTCTGTCCTACATAATTAATATTACATTTGCTACATGGAATACAATAAACACTTCCATTTACATTCAAACTTGGGCTATTTCTTATTAACATATTGGTAATGGTTGAGTCATACTTGAAAACAACATTAATATTTAGAAGCTTGAGGGACCGAACTAACGGGACAAATTCATTACGATAGGGCAGAGTCAAAATATTCTTAAGTGTAGGAATTTGCCTGGTTTGAGAGGAATGAAAGGATTTTTTAGCCCTTTTGAAACAACGATCAACACAGAAGGGTTTCAATTCATCGTCAATAAATTCAGAGTCACAAATACGCAGACATCTTAAGAACATAGCAGAAAAAACTGACATTTTGGTAGACTCCAGGTGATTCGATAAAAAGTGAATGAAACTGTCTACCTGTGTGGGCTTTCTGTATACCTTAAATTTGTAGTTTTGGCCATTTCTCATGATAAGCATATCAAGGAATGGAAGGGATCCATTTATTTCTCTTTCAATTTTGAATGTGATACTAGGGACAATATCATTAAGCTTGTCTAAAAATTCCAATGGGTCACTGTTTCTAGGCCAAAGACAAAGAAAATCATCTACATATCTATACCATGGAGGAATAAAGTCCACTATATTGGGTAGTAATCTAGACTCAAAAAACTCCATATAAATACAGGATAGAGGAGCAGAAAGACAATTACCCATGCTCATGCCAAATATTTGCTTGTAAAACTTCCCATTTGCTCTAAACACATTGTCAGTTACGCATAACTCTATCAATTTGAGGAAAGTATCATGTTCAATAGTTAAATCTAACAGTTGTAATTTATCTTTAAGAAATGAAAGTAGGTCTTTCACAGTACTCTAGTGAACAGTGAATTTACATCAAAACTTATTAATTCGCAAGGTTCATTATGTTTCTTGAGTTTATCAATTAACTCACTGCTATTGTGTAATTGTGAATTAGATATTTGGCCTGTAAGAGGGGATAGCATCTTTACCAGCCACTTGGATAATTTGTAAGTAACAGAACTCACAGAACTCACGATAGGACGTAATGGATTGTTAAGCTTGTGTGTTTTGATCAATCCATACATATAAGGTAAAGTGGGATTGATTTGAGAGAGCTGTTTGATGAGATCGGGGTTCTTTTTCAATAACATCTTCATTTTGGAATTAGATAACATATTAATATTTTCCAGGGGATCTTTCGTAAGCTCACAATACGTGCTTTCATCACTAAGTAATGAATTCATCTTATCATTGTAGTCACTTTTATCCAAAATTACAATAGCATTAGACTTATCAGCCTTGGTAATATGCATATTCTTATTTCTTTTCAAGTTTATCAAGGCTGTTTCAAATCTTTTTGGAATGTTTGAAACAAATTTCTTATGTAAAACATTATGTATACAACCTAAATATATATATATATATATATATATATATATATATATATATATATATATATATATATATATATATATATATATATATATATATATATTCTAGACTCTAGAGCTTTGATACTCAGCCAAGGAAACTTACTTGAATATCTGAGGTCCAGCTCGATCGTGCTTCACGGCAATTTCCCAAACCTTCCCGAGGCCGCCAATCTCTATCATGCCCTTGATGATGACGGCAACTATGCCACCAAGTAGCACCATGAACTGCAAGGCGTCAGTCCACACCACCGCCTTCAACCCTCCCTGGAGTATCACACATCTTTACAATCACTACCTTATTTTAAGATCACATAATATCGCACTGTATTGCACATTTGTTTTTCATGTTATCATAGTGTTATTTATACCAAACGAATAGAAATCTGCATTTTCAATTATCTTTAAGCACGTACAAGTGTTAGTAATTACAGCACACTAGTTCATCAACAATCATCAGTTACACGAGATATAACTGTATTAATGGATTTCAGTGAAACCAAACTAAATTCCCAATTTTCAAATGATATAACTCCGAGAAAGATGATGTTTGGAAATGAACGGTTAAGACGTGTTAAGTTTGAGTGATGTTTTTTTTTCTATAAAATTGTGAATTATTTACACACACATGTAGATGACCAACAGGCTGTTGTTAGAAATTAAATGTATTGTTCTGTGTTTGATGGATTGGCATGAGATCCAAATTCTCTGAGTGGTTGTTCACTGACTTAATAGAGTTCCCACAGGGACGTAAGCAACTGTAAATATGAAGATAGTAACGTGAATTAACTGTTCCATTCCACCCACCTATAACAGCTGTAGTGGTGAGGACAGCAGTTTAAAGGTGGAAATGAATTAAAGTAATGTTTCTAGATACAGTACTCGGTTTTCACAAGTGTTATGTAAGGGAAGTTTATAGAAAATGAGATAAAAGTACATTACGTATCTGTTGTTTACTTACGATGGCGGTGTAGAAGGATGCGATGGTGCCTACTGTGACGATAGAGACCCAGAGAGGGAAGTCGGTAACGGCGTTGAGGGCAAGAGCAGGGGCGTAGATGACCACCGCTTGGTTCAGCAGGATCTGGATAATGAAAAGCGCACTGGCCACCCGACGCGCTGCCAGCGAGTGATACCGCATCTCCAAGTACTGCAGAGCAACGCAGTTAACACAGCAGAGACAGTTGGTCCGGTTACTTTGATAAAAAGAGTTTTACTTCTTCTGTGATTAAGGAGATAATTTTATAACTAGCGGATACCACTAACTGTACTAACATTCATAAAACGCCAATACTCAGGCATCACTTGGGTCAACCGTTTTTCTTGTGGTATGTGTGTTGATAAAGGGGTGGGGATATGGTGGATGGCCTCACCTGGTTGACGGAGACCAGTTGTAGCTCGTAGTAGAAGGGGACGAAGACGAGGGCAGCAATGGGCACCGCCAAGAGGCCAACGTTGCCGCACACCGTCTGTATGTTGTGGTAATAGATCTCCGCCGGTGACCCTGTCCACGAAATACGTAATAATAAACTGTTGTAGCATTAAAGGTTTGGTACATCAGACGCCCAGGATTCCTAAGAGGCTTGTATGAGGCTTTCCCTTGAGTTGCATATTTTTTATTTTTGCCAAATTAGTAACAATAATTGCAAAGCAACCTTTCCTTATAAGGAAAACTTGAAAGTCTATTACTTTATTAATAGTGTTAGCGGCCAGATTGAGTTGAGTTGCAGTGATTAATTGAAGGTAAATTTCACCCCAAGAGGTTCCTGATTTCTCCACATATAAAAAAGAAGTGTTGATAGTTTACTGACCCTGTAGAGCTATGGCGGAGATGTAAGTGACCACGAGAGACATGGACACAGGCACGCAAGTGAGGCTTCGACTGCCCAACAAGAACTCATCATTGGCCTTGTTGCGGCTCTTGTAGGCGAAATAGAACCCCACCAAGAGGGAGGCCAGAAGCATCAAGATGAATACCCCATAGTCCAACCACGTGAAGGTGCCTCCACTGACACTCGTCATCTTTCAAGTGGTGGTTGTGGTTGTCTGTGGGGAGTACTGACATAAGAACATAAGAAAATAAGGAGTCTGCAATAGGCCGGTTGGCCTGTGCATGGCAGCTCCTGTCGAGAGTTACTACCACTCTCTATCATCCATGAATCTATCTAGCCTCCTTCTGAAACTTTCCAGAGTTCCCGCACTTACTACAAAGTTGCTAAGCTTGTTCCACTCGTCTACCACCCTATTTGTGAACCAGTTTCTTCCTATCTCCCTCCTAAACCTAAGCTTATCCAACTTGAATCCGTTGCCACGAGTCCTATCCTGCTCGGATATTATAAGAACTTTATCTATATCCCCTTTATTGATTCCTTTCACCCACTTAAATACTATCATATCTCCCCGCACTCTTCGTCTTTCTAAGGAATGCAAGTTAAGTTTCTTTAACCTATCCTGATATGGAAGGTTTCTAAGTCCCGGAATCATTTTTGTCATTCTTCGCTGCACCGACTCTAGTGAATTTATATCCATTCTATAATAGGGGCACCAGAACTGAACCGCATAATCGAGGTGCGGCCTAACTAGCGCAAGATATAGTTGCAATAAGACCTCTGCACTCTTGTTACTTACACTTCTAGATATAAAACCCAATACTCTGTTTGCCTTATTTCGAACATTAACGCACTGTTTTCTAGGCCGTAGGTCCGGGCTTACAAGTACCCCTAGGTCTCTTTCACAAGTCGACTTCTCTAGGTTGATGTTGTTAAGGCTGTATACATTATAAGTATTTGTTCTTCCAATATTAAGTACGCTGCACTTGCTGGTGTTGAATTTCATTTGCCATTTTTCAGACCACCCCCAGTTTATTTAGATCCTGTAATGCATTTGCATCCTGCCCTGAATTAATCTGCCGCCCTATTTTGGTGTCATCCGCAAACTTGCTTATGTCACTGTTGATCCCAGTATCTAAATCGTTTATGTAGATTATGAACAAGAGTGGGCCTAGTACTGACCCCTGGGGAACCCCACTGGTTACACGGCCCCACTCAGATTTAACACCATCTACGCTGACCCTCTGCGTTCTATCGGTGAGCCATGATTTTATCCAATTTAAAACTTTCCCCTCGATACCATGAGCCTTAATTTTTCTCAGAAGCCTCTGATGCGGTACTCTGTCAAATGCTTTGCTAAAGTCTAAGTAAATAACATCGTAATTTTCGTCATTATCTACTACCTCGAAGACTTTCCTGCCTTAACAGAGTGGCAAGGAGGTCGTCTTTCCCCACACTTCCCTCCTCTTCCACCACGACACAACGATCCAAAGCGGCCATTTTCCTTGGTCTCTAACGGGAGCACTATCGGGTACGACCTTCTCCAAGCTGGGTGAGTTGTCAGACAGGATTGTGCGCTCTTAGCAACCACAGAAAAGACAATTACCATCTACAGTTCATCAAACAAACAACTAATATACTGTAATTTCAAACTTTATTCATTAATGATAAAAGTAATAGCTACCAAAAGTAAGAACAGCTATTTAATATACATGTTAATTGAGGACCTCCATTAAATTCAGGTTGTAGTATATTGTTTCCCATATAAATTTATACCGTATAAAATGTGTTGCACCAAAATACTTTACCTGGCTAATCTGGCTAGTTAAATACTGTTAGTGTCAATGTTATTTACCCAGCCTCTCTTGTGACGTCACGTCCAGCACTGTGCAGTTGTCAAATGGTAATTTCTTAAATTAATTTTTTCTCACACCAAACTTATACTTCGATTTTATATTTCCAAGTTTTCGCTTCCATTATATGTAAAGTAACAACAATAAAACTGAAAGAAATAGGAATTGGGATGACCTGAGTAAACTGTGAGTAGAGAGTGGGCAAGTGACCTCATTAAAATTCTGTAGGTGTACATCGATCAGCTGGGGCCATATCTACTTTCATCCACTCACATGTTCACATCTTCCTGCAACACACACACAAACACTCACCAATTCACGTAAATTTGAAAATAAATCTATTTATACAAATCTAAACACACAATCATATATCCATATCATTAATACAAACTCATTAACACATACTTTTTTTTTTACGGGGACTTGCCCACCCGAGCACAGATCACTGACCCATATCGGGGCCTGGGGGCGAAAATGTAATAATAATAATTCAGATAAGTAAAATTAAAAAAAAAAGTACGTAATCAGAGACGTGACCGATCGCCCAAGCGGCTAACGAGCCGATCAGTGGTGAGGAGGATAAAAGTAAAGTAAAAAGTAAAAGTAAAAGAGAAGGAGGGGGGGGGGGGAGGCAGACGCGTTCATTTGACACATTCGCAGCTGTTACTTGGGAAATCCCATTTGGCATTATAGCCGAGTCACAAAGGCACGATTTAACAGTCGTACTAGGTGTCACTATATAACGGTCACAAACACTAAGTCACACAGACAGTTTGTAACGGTCACACAGCCAGTTACACTTGGCACTATACCGTATAACAGTCACAAAGGCATATGTAACAATCACACTGGAACTCTACAACAGTTACACAGTCACTTTGTAAATCACACAAACGCTATGACTATGTAACAGTCACACAGGAACTATAAGTCATACATGCACTATGTAACAGTCATACAGGTACTATGAAACAGTCACACAACCACTATGTAAAACTTTGCAATATGTAGGTCATAGGGCACTATGTAATTCATATAGGCTCTTTGTAGCGGTCACATAGCAACTATGTAACACTTGGCACAATGTATTAGTCACACTGATACTATGTAACAGTCACATGGCACTGTAACAGTTACACAGGTACTACGAAAGTCTTACAGATATTACTTAATAATCACACTCAGTACTAAGGAAATCACACAGGCACTATGTGGCAGGTATGCTGGCAATATGTGAGCCATACGGGCATTATTTGACAGCCATACGTGGCACTTTGAATTATAATTGGTCACGATGTAAATTACACCTGGAACTTTTTCAATATCACACTTGGCAGTGGGCATCACCAAAGAGCCATTCTACAGTGCCAGAGATTTGTTTACCTGGTGTTCACGTCCAGTGCCAGTGACCAAGTGGAACCTCACCTGGCCTCTTACTGCTACACACCGCCAACCTTCACCTCGCTCACCTCAGTATAGCAACAAAAACAACTTTCTCTTGCTTCTCAATCAGATACAAATGTCGTAGTTGAAGCAAGTTCTTTCGTATTAAACTGGGGTTTGGATACAATAAAACTAAGCAGTGGTTTCTGTATTGTTTCCATATAATAAGGGGGTTATTTCATGTGCTTCATCTTTATTAAATATTGTGTAACTTTTACTGGATTCTAAAAGTAGCGTTAGGAAATATATTGTTATAATAACTGGTATAGTTAAACTTCCGAATATGGGATAGTTTTCTCTGCAAGACTTGCCTGTTGGTACGTCTAAATAAAGAACAAGAACGAGAACATAACAAAGCGTGTTCGGCATTCGGGCCTTCGATGTTGAGCGGCAGAAATTGGACAGTGATTACGTAAGATCATCAAGATCGTCTTAGTGATGTGAAAGTGTAAATCGATGTAGAATTTTTAATGCTAGACGCGATTGTATTTCTGAAAACTCAATTTCCACCGACTTGGAGGTACAGCCAAGCAGGTCAGGAGGCCAACAGCCTACAACCACAAACCCGCTGCCACATGACAAAGCTTTTATTTTTTTTTAGGAGTTGTGGTCACGGCTGTGATAAAGGCCAACCAGGGAGTGTAGTACTGTGATTTTAGGTAAATCTGTTCATAGTGTCATCAGTGTCCGCAGAAGAGACTATAAATAACTTAAAGTGAATACATATTGGCAATCAAGCTGGTAAGGACAACTGCCAGCCCATTCGTGTCATAGGTGCCACAGAGACTTTAAATTTTATTTTGTTTGAGTACTTTCTCAAGGACTGAAACTGTGCCTACAATACACCATTCACAGGGAGATACAGTGTACGCAGTCTCAGACGACAACTCAGCAAGCAACAGAGAGTAGCTAAGTACTGTTCTTTTGTTCTTTTTTTTTCTCTTTACTTTTTTAAATACGTGTAATCTACACTGTCTGTCCCCCCTCCCCCCCACAACAACAACAACCATGAGTATGATATGTGATTACTGCAGGGAGACGTCGGATATGGAGGATACAGGCCTGACTAATGCAACGTTTAGACGTTACTAACTGCCGTAAAGTATGATGGCTGTTGCTGGTATTGCCCTGACTGCATAGTCAAGGTGAATGAAGCGATTGCAAGCCATAAGGGAACGAGTTCTCTAGGGATAAAAATAGATGAAGCTGAAGCCCTGCTGGTTGCCAAACTGGAGCAATTTGGGAAAGAGATCCTTGCCAAGACTGAGGAAGTAGCTGATAGAATGGAGGTGGTTGCTAAGAGGAGTTATGCTGACGTATTAGGAGGGCCACGGGAGGGGGTGGAGTGTAATGCAGGATCAGTACAGGCTCTACAACAGCTTGGGACTTTGAAGAAGTGTGTCGAAGAAATGAAAATTAACGGACCTACTGTTAGGGGAGAGGAGGAACACCAGGAACGTTTCCAACTCAGGAACAATGTTATAGTTTTTGGAGTCCCAGAGAGCCAGGGGGTGGGAACTGTGAGTACGGTAACACACGATAAGATGCTGTTTCAAAATATTTTTACAGGGGTTCTGAAGATTCCATCAACCCCTCAGGATGTGAGGAGGCTGGGACAAAAGCAGGGGGATAAGCCTTGTAGTGGATTTCTCCCCTACAAACGCTGTTTGTCGCTGAGTAGCCGACCCCACCAATTCTCCAGTGTATGCCTCGTGGTCTAGGTCAACCAGCGCCGCCATACATCAAGGAGCGGGGGTCAACTACTAAGCCACGCCTACCTCCGCTATTTAAGACCTGACCTCGTGGTGACCTGTCTCTTTCTACCCACACCAACCAGCCAGTAACACCTCCTCCTCCGCCGCTGCCTGGCGGCCCTCGCTCCTCGTCCGCCTGCCTGGCGGTCCTCTCTCCCGCCGGCGAGCATGGCGACCCACAAGCTGTCCTTCTCTGAGCATCCTCACCAACCAGCTCTCTCTACATCACGCTTGTAACCATGCTGCCTTCCCAGCACCAAGCTGCATTGTACATCCAATACAACATGTATATAGAGAGCACATTGTGAGTTTCCTTTCTCCATTTCATCCTGAGTGTGAACCAAACATCATATACCCCACAAATGGTGACCCCGGAGTGACGCACTCACACAGGACGGAGGAGAAACTGATCACGCTCCCAGTCTTCAAGCAACATGGAAGACTGGCTTATCCACACAGAAGCAGCTCTCATCGGCTCTACAACTACTGTCTCTACACTGCAGGTTAGACACCCTAGAGCAGCTCTGCTACTCTAAGCAGACACCAGCTCCTCTTCCTGCCCCAAGCACCACGTCCTACCGACCCCAGCACACCCGTCCTGCCTCAGACGCCGACCCCGGCCCAGCAGTAACCCCTGCCGCCCCTGACGCGGCCTCTGTTCCTGAGTGTGGACCCACACACAGCTCTTTTCTCCCTCAGGTACTCCCTGCTAATGTCCTGCACCCTGCTGCTGTCGTGGACCCAGCTGCTGTCACGAGCCCTCATCCGCTTCTGCTGACGCAGCCCCTGCTCCTGACCCAGGCCCACACACCCCAGCAGGCGCATCTGACGACTCTGTACCTGCCGTGAGGGAAGCACAACATTCATCGCCTCCACACACCCTTTTTCTCCCTCTGTCCTCCCACAGATAGTGTGTATATAAAGAGTTGTATCCAGCGACCGGCTCATCCACGCCATCGCCGTTGTCTCACATGAGGCATGCACCGCCCGTTCTGCCTCACATGTGCTAAGCAACTCTGCAGACAACAGGTCTCCTACACCGCCTGGAGGGAAGGGGGAGTATTGTAGTGGATTTCTCCCCTACAAACGCTGTTTGTCGCTGAGTAGCCGACCCCACCAATTCCCCAGTGTATGCCTCGTGGTCTGGGTCAACCAGCGTCACCATACATCACAGAGCGGTGGTCAACTACTAAGCCACCCCTACCCCTCCCTATTTAAGACCTGACCTCGTGGTGACCTGCCTCTTTCTACCTACACCAACCAGCCAGCAACACACCTCCTCCTCCTCCGCCTGCCTGGCGGTCCTCGCTCCTCCTCCGCCTGCCTGGCGGTCCTCTCTCCCGCTGGCGAGCATGTCGACCCACAAGCTGTCCTTCTCTGAGCGTCCTCACCAACTAGCTCTCTCTACATCACGCTTGTAACCATGCTGCCTTCCCAGCACCAAGCTGCATTGTACATCCAATACAACATGTATATAGAGAGCACATTGTGAGTTTCCCTTCTCCATTCCATCCTGAGTGTGAACCAAACATCCTGAACCCCATAGCCTCGTCCCCTCAGGATCACACTAGCGAGCGGGGAAGAGAAATGGCAGGTTATTCGGCAGGCAAAAAACTTAGCAAGGAGCGAGGCATTTCGGGATGCACTCATTCACCCAGATCGCATGGTAATACAGAGGGAACAGCACAAGAAGCTCCTGCAGGACTTGAAGTAGAAGAGGGAGGAGTCGAGGAGGAACGGGGACAGGTGTACATGGGTTATACTCAGGGGGAGGGTAGTGGAAGCAAGTGTGCCGACACAGGGCCAGGGGGCAGCAGTGCACCCTCCAACCGCTCTAACCCCCACCCGGGAGGCGGCACCAGCTCCGCCTACCGGACAGAAGGAGGCGAGCGCAGTGTAAACACTGACATTTCTAACCACACCCTGCAAAATACAGTGTACGTAGCAAATGCTGCAGCTTCTGAGAATGTGGGGGGAGGGT